TTCTAAAAAAGTGAACTGGGAGGAGGGGGTGTACAACAATGAGTGAATGAAAATTCAACTTCTCTGTAAGCTTTCATTAAAATAACAATTTAAAAATATTCCAAATGATCAACTTTTTCATAGAGTAATAAGGAATCCCATAGACTAGGAAAAATATTTGACAATGAAATATCTGATAAAGGACTAATATATAAAATTTACAGAATACTCTAATACTTCAATAAAAAAATGAGCACAAGATAAAAATAGACACTACACCAAAGAATAAAATCACATGTCCAAAACAAAGACATGATGAAATGCTCAAAATTTCTAGCTGTAAGAAAAATGCAAATCAAAACACTGATGAGATCATCATTTCATTCTAGCAATAATAATAGATTTCAACAGAGCAGCAAACAACAAACGTTGGTGAGGATGTTAAGAGACTGAAAATCTCATACACTGCTGGTGGAACTGTAAAATATTACAGCCACTATGGAAAGCAGTCTAGTGCTTCCTCAAAAAGTTGGATACAGTCATATCATTTAACCCAACCACTCCACCATTAGGAATATACTATAAAGAAACTAAAAACATGACACAAGCCAATGAATGAATACCTATGTTAATTACAGCATTATTTACAACAGAGAAGAGATTGAAGTAACCCAAGTGTCCATCAACAAATGAAAGGGTAGAAAAATTGTTGTGCATTCACACAATGGAATCTTATGCAACTTTGAAAAACAGTAAACTTGTAAAACACTACACAACATAGATGTGTGTGGAAGATATTATGCTGAGTGAAATATCTCAGTCACAAAAGGACAAATATTGCAAAAGAATGCTGTTATTAAAAAAAGATGGACATGGAGGGGAAGAACACAAAAGGTGGATAAATAATGTATACAACAAATACTTCACAGGAATAGGTTAAGGAAAGGACTATCTGAAAGTAATGGATGATTAGGCATATATATTACAATTAACAAAAGAGCTCTGGTGGCCTAATGGCAAGAAGCTGTGCTGCAATCCCAAAAGCATGTGGTTCGAGGCCACAAGCTGCTTCGTAAGAGAAGGATGGACAATCTCCTCCTATGTGATTAACTGACTCTTAAAACTCGCTGGAGGGTCAGCTATAGGTAGTTCCAACTCTACACAAAACAACAACAATGACAATTAATCTGGAACAGGATATGAATTGCAAAATGATTTGGAGGAGGAGAGGGATGAGAGGATGGAGGAAAATGTCTATCAAAGAATGAACTATAATCCAGTCTTTCTGTGAACTGTCATTAAATCCAAATAAAATTTTTAAAAAGTATTTTCAATTAATGAATAATTCATTGTATAAATTTCTGTCATTAAATTTCCAATCTCATTTCTGTAATCAAGTCTGTATTTCCCAATTACTAATTCTTTTTTTTCTTTTTGTTTCCAACTTTTCATTTCAGGTACCAATTTTACTCAGCATAAATGTCATCCAGACACATCTATGTTGTGTAGTGTTTAACAAGTTCACTCAAAGCTGCATAATATTCCATTGTGTGAATGTACCACCAGTTCTAAACTTTG